TAAAATTTTTTGTAGAGGCAAATTATGTTGCCCAGGCTGGTCTTGAACACCTGGGCTCAAGCAAGCAATTCTCCCATCTCAGCCTCCAAAAGTTCTGGGATTACAGGCATGAGCCACTGGAACTGGTTTTAATGTGTTCTTGACCAAGGACAAGGCAGAGGATGACCAGCGTTCTTTCTCATCTCCTGTCTAGATGATGAATGAGACAGGGATGGGAAGTTATGACATAAGGGGGGAAACGATCAGGCTGATTAATAATAAAGACTATGGGGCCCAGTCATGGTGGCTTATGCCTGTAATCCCAGTGCTGTGGGAGGCTGAGGCAGGAGAATCACTTGAGACCAGGAGTTTGAGACCAGCCTGGACAACATAGGGAGTCCCTGTCTTTAAAAAAGTAAAGACTGGGTTTAGAGTTTTCTGGGCCCAAATTTTTCTTCTGGTGACAAAATGGGGCAAATGCCAGCTGTACTTTTGTCCACTGGGTTCACCTCGGAGTCAGATTCCTATCAAATTCTTGTCATTTGGAAAGCTTTGGATCCTAGTTTCTTCTACTTCTTTTAAAATGTAGAGGTTTTCTTTTTTTCTTTCTTTTATTTTCCTGTTTTGCAGACTACCTACTCATCTGTCAAGATCAAGGTTTCCCTGGCCAGGCGCGGTGGCTCATGCCTGTAATCCCAGCACTTTGGGAGGCTGAGGCAGGCAGATCACTTGAGGTCAGGAGTTCAAGACCAGACTGGCCAACATGGTGAAACCCCGTCTCTACAAAAAATACAAAAAAGTAGGTGGGTGTGGTGGCAGGCACCTGTAATCCCAGCTACTCGGGAGTCTGAGGCAGTAGAATTGCTTAAACGTGGGAGGCAGAGGTTGCAGTGAGCCGAGATTGTGCCACTGCACTCCAGCCTGGGCAACAAAAGCAAAAAAAGTTAAAAAAAAGTTTTCTAGACAAAATATTGAAGACCCGTGGTGCTCATGTTAAAAGGATTCCCTTCTACTCTCAAATGTTTGTCATTATCTGTGCCAAGCACTGAGGACACGCGTGGCTGAGCAGGGCAGGCACTGCCCCTGACACACAGAATTGATTCCTCCACTTGGCTCATGGGTCATGTGTCCATCAAGTACCTCATATGTGCCAGGCACTGTGATAGGCTTGGGATATAGTGACAAGGAGAAACAGGACTCCGGGCCACCTTCGCCCTGTTTGTGGGCTGGGCTGCATACCAGAAGTGCCCAGGGGAACTATTTCCAAAATAGGGGTGCCTGATCCCTTCCATGTAAGGGCCTCATGTATGTGTTTGGGGAAAAGAACAGCTACCTGGTGCTGATGTGTGCCTCTAGGTGACAGTTACCAGTGGGCTGGACAGATAAATGAGCAGGGAGGTCTAACAGGGAGATAGACCGCTGGGAAAGACGTTCAGGGAAGAATGGAGTGTGGCTTGGAGAGACAGTCTAGCATAGGGGTGAAGACCACACAATCTCCAGCCAGAATGCCTGCTCTGCCACCTCCTAGCTGTGTGATTCGGGCAAATCCCTAAGCTCGGCATGTCTCTTTCCTCCTCTGTAAAATGGATGTGATAACAGTACCGACCTCACAGAGCTGTTGGAAGGACTCCATGAAATAATACATAAGATGAGCTTAGAAGTGTGTCTGGTGCCTGCAAACACAGTGTGCCACACAGCGTGTGCTGCTGCAGCTACTGCTGCTACTATTACTATTATTATCATTATTATTGGAGGGAAAGCTCCAGACACAGTGAGACCTGAGAAATGAGTAGGAATTACCTAGAAAAGGAGATGATGGAGAGGACGGACCAAGAGGAAACACGGTCTGGAAATAGAGCTTGGTCAGCTGGAGCTGAGCATGTGAGGCGGAGAGAAGCGGGGGAAGATGCTGAAGGCAGATCACGTGGGGCCCTGTGAGTCATGCCGGGACATCTGCACTGGTTTAGAGAAGGGTGGGGATGTTAGAAGCCCTTGGGGTCTGCTGAGTTGCTGCGGTGTGAGTGTGTGCAGATGCGTGTATGAATGTGGGCAGGTGTATGTGTTTGCACATGTGTGCATGTGTGTGAAGTGTAAGATGCCCATACCAGTACCCCCTCAGGTCTTCCTTGGCAGGGTCCACTCAGTTACTCACTCACTCCAGTTTAAAGACCTCAGCCTTTTCCCCAGTGTTGAAACAGTTGTTTCCAACTCCTTAGCCTGGCACAATGCCAGGCTCCCACCCTGACCTGTTAGCATTTCCTACCATCCCACCTGGGGGGCCTCTTACGTAGGCTGCAGAGACACCAGATGCCACCATTTCTAGACACTCCTGAGAACCCCACCTTACCTGTGCTGTCCGACCCTCTGGGAGGCCCTGCCCTAGTCCAGCTGCCCTCTGCCAAATACAGCATGGTCGTTAGGAGTGAGGGCTCCAGAGCCAGACTCCCTGGACCTGAATCCTGGCTCTGGCACTTAGGATTCTTGTGGCTTCACCTCCCAGCCTCAGTTTTCTTGTCTGAAGCAGGGAGACTGGCAGTTTCTTCCTCCTAGGGCTGCAGTGAGGAAGGAATGGGATCATACTTGCAAGTGGTCAGAACAGAGCCTGGCACCCAGTGGGTCTGCACTAGCTCATGGGCACAGCAGCACGTGCCTGATTCCCTTGCCCAAAGTCCAGCTCCTCCATCTTCCCGGGCACTGTGCTGGGCACTGGTGAGGCGGCGGGGCTCAAGGCAGACCCTGCCTACTTGGAGTTCATGTCCAATGTAGGATTGGAGAGCAGACACAAAATGATAAGTTCTGACATCTACACAACACTCACCATGGTTCCCTGTGCACAACATGTCCTCAGGTTGGAATTCAGAGGACATTTACTGTGCTTACCCAAATTGGGGCCAGGACCTTTCACATTCATTATGTCGTCCCCCCATGATCCTTTGCCAAGTGTACAAAGCCCATATCCTTTGAGAAAGTGGAGGCCTAGAGAGGCTAAGTGACTAGCCCAAGGTCCCACAGCTAGTCAGTGGCAAAGCTGGGAGCCAAATCCAGGTCTGCCTAATACAAAAACCCAAATTCTCACCCGTGGGCCATGAGGATCCAGGGGTGGGAACAGCAAGCAGGAAAGATGCTGGAAGGAAGCTGCTTTGGAAACCATCCCCCAAAAGGCCGTAGTGCAGGAACTTCCCAGTATCATACTAACCAGCCCCGTCACCAAGAGGTCACCTGCCTCCCTCCTCCCTCTTTCCAGTTTCCAGCCTCACATTCTCGGGACAGCTGATAGGCAACTTAACTTCCGGTTACCACAACCAAATGGTTAATGGTAATTAATTCAATTTGTTTGGCAGGGGAATTAAAGGCTTGGCTGTACTAACAATCTGATCTTAGCATTTATGCTAACTGGAGGAAGAGACATGCCTTCTCCTCTAAATGAAGAATTGGTTCTATTAATAAGACTACATCTCTCTAGGTAATGTGCCTGGCAGATAAATGGTTTGCTGCTAGGGTGGAGGGAAAGATGACAAGGAAAGAACCAAAATGATGACAGCACAGATGATGGCAACTTTTCAAAGGCTTCCCTGGAAGAAGCAGATTTGGAGAGCAGAGAGGAGTCTGCACTGGCTGACAGCCAGCACCGATGGCCAGATACATGAGTGAGGTCAACCCGGACCTTCTGGGTGCTCCAGCTCTGACTACAACTGTATGTCTAAGCCCAGGCAAGAAGGGAGAACTGTCGTGTCAACTCATGGGATTGTGAGAAATGGTCAGTCATTGCTGCTTTGGGCCACCGTGTTTGGAGAGGCTGTTTTGCAGCAACAAATAACAATCATGGTAGAAGGCAAAGGAGAAGCAAAGGCATGTCTTACACGGTGGCAGGCAAGAGTGTGTGCAGGAGAACTGCCCTTTATAAAACCATCAGATCTCATGAAACTTATCCACTATCATGGGAATAGCATGGGAAAAACCCGCCCCCATGATTCAATGACCTCCCACTGGGTTCCTCCTATGACATGTGGGGATTATGGGAGCTACAATTCAAGATGAGATTTGGGTGAGGACACAGCCAAACCATGTTAAGCTCCAACCCTTCTCTCCCATCCATCCTCCACTCCTGGGTTGAGCAATTTCTCTCTGAGTTCCTTCTCTTGCCTTCAGAGTCCTGTCCCTGCTATGTTCCACCAAGAGGAGGTGAGCCCATGTCCCAGGAGTAGTGAACCAGTCCAAGTGCCCCAGGCTTGGCAACTCACTCCCCCAACCAGCCCTCCCAGGCAGCCCCTGCTGACACATCTGTCCAAAACCAGCATTTTGCCCTGGAGACCTCACCTACCCAAGGGCAGGATCAGCAGCTCTCAAGCTTTTTAACTGCCTCGCACAGAAAGGATGACCTTGGAGGCATGACACACTCCCAAAGGTGTCTGTTTCTGGGTGAATGGTGAACCTCCAGAAGATAGGTCCACCCAGAACCTGTGAATGCAACCTTCTCTGGTAAAACGGTCTTTGCAAATATAATTAAGTACATGAGCTTGAGATGGGATCACCCTGGATGAGAGTGGGCCCTACATCCAATGACTCTGTCCTTATGAGAGAAGAGAATAGGAAAGGCAGAGACTGGAGTGACATGTCTACAAGCCAAGGAACGCTAAGGGCTGCTGGCAGCCACGTGAAGCTGGATGAGACAGGAAAAAATCCTCCCCTAGAGCCTGCAGCAGGAACACGGGCCTGCCAACACCTGGATTTTTAACTTCTTGTCCTCTTCATTCCCTCTTGAGAAAGTGCATCAGAACACAAGCCAGTGTCATTACTACAGGACAGTCCATCTTGCATCTACCCTAATTTATGTACAAAAAATCATTCTCCAAACAGTTTGATGACTATTTTTCTTGATTTTTAAACTATTTTTAACGCTTAACTATTATTCTAAGAACTAGGAACACATTTTGCAAGGCTCATGGTCCCTGGCCCAGAACTTCTGTCCCAGGGAACATGCATGTGAAGGGTTTCCATCTGTGACAATAATCCATGCTCACCTTTCTCCTGAGCCATCTCCTGCAGACAGAAGTAGATGACTCTGGCTCCCAGGCTGAAGCCGATCAAGGTGACAGGTCGCCGGCCCTGAAGGAAAAAAGGACACAGGTGTCTGGAGGGAATACAGCTAGTTCTAGCAAAACGTCAGACCAGAGGAGGGCAGCCTTTGCACATTCCTTACCAACTGCTTCTCATCTAATGAATCATGCATGTGCTGCTCCGGTCCCTGAGCTCTGATGTCTTAATCAGCAGAGTAAGGACCCTCATTTATGCAGGAGTGCACCTGCCGCTGGAATTGGCTTCCTCCAAGGCCAACAGGCAGCCCCTGGCTGGGTTAATTCCCTTTCATCTCAAACCATTATCCAGTCACCGTCTCATCTGTCCCAGGACACAGGGCTAATCAATTACAAGAGCAACTTCCCTTGGACTGATCTGCCTTCTGGCAAATGGCTGCAGTGCTGCGGGACCCCTTCTGGAGCTGGGGAGATTAGGCAGAAGGCACCCCGGGTGTGAGGGGTAAAAAGGCAAAGAGTGACAAGCAGGGGACAACTGTTCCATTTCTAGATAGGAAGGTGGGGCACAAAATATTGGCTCTAAGTAACAAGATAAAGTAGTAAGTCAGATGGAAAGAGGAATTTTCTGACTTAAGGACTTGTAGAAAAGGCAACTCATTATGTGAAGACTCTAAAGAAAATGGAAGTTATCTCAGGGTATTTGGGTACAAGCTTATACGGAAGGAGAGGAGGGGAGTGGATGAGTTCTGAAGGCCCAGCCTGATTTTACCAGTCTATTCCTTTTCCTTGGTTTTGTGCCAATACACGTATTCCACACCCCCACACCACTCTACACTAGAAAATCCTCTGTTAAACAGTCTGAATCCTGTAGGAGCTTTGTGCCAACCCTGCTGGCCGCTGCCCGACATCGTCTCCCCTTTGTCCTTTAGTAATAGAACTCCTGAGCTGGACTGGGCACGCAGCCACCCAGCCAAAGATGAAGTTTCCCTGACTCCTCTGTAGCTTGGGGTGGTCACAGGGCTGAGGCTTAGCCAAGGGACTGAAGGCAAGCAAAAGCTGTGACTTCTAGGCATACTCCTCGTCCCTAGTTTCCTACCTCCCACTGTCTGAAACGCACGCGTAACGCTGGAAGATCTGCTGGAAGATCTTGGACAAGAGAGAAGCACAGCCGGGTGCTGTGGCTCATGCCTGTAATCTCAGCACTTTAGAAGGCCAAGGCAGGAGGATCACTTGAGGTCAGGAGTTCGAGACCAGCCTGGCCAACATGGTGAAAGCCTGACTCTATTAAAAATACAAAAATTAGCCAGGTGTGGCGGCAGGCAACTGTAGTCCTAGCTACTTGGGAGGCTGAGGCAGGAGAATCACTTGAACCTGGGAGGTGGAGGTTGCAGTAAGCTGAGATCACACTGACAGTGAGACTCTATCTCAAAAGAGAGAGAGAGAGAGAGAAAGAGAGAAGCCCAGTGTGCTCAGGATGAGAGGCCACAAGAGAGAAGGAAGCTGGGCTCCCAATATTATGAAGCTGCCCATGTGGGAGATAGAATAACACCCACCCACGGATGTCTTCATTCTAATCCCTGGAATCTGTGAATGTTGCCTTGTATAGCAAAGGGTCTTTTTGTTTGTTTGTTGAGATGTAGTCTTGCTCTGTTGCCCAGGCTGAATGAAGTGCAGTGGCACGATCTCGACTCACTGCAACCTCCACCTCCCGGGCTCACGCAACTCTCCTGCCTCAGCCTCCCCAGTAGCTGGGACTACAGGCGCCCGCCACCACTCAGCTAATTTTATTTTCATTTTTAATAGAGACAGGGTTTTACCATGTTGGCCAAGCTGTTCTCGAACTCCTGACCTCAAATGATCCACCCGCCTCGGCCTCCCAAAGTGCTGGGGTTACAGGCATGAGCCAGCACCTGGCCTATTTATTTATTTTTGAGACAGAGTCTCACTGTTGCCCAGGCTGGAGTGCAGTGGCATGATCTGGGATCACTGCAACCTCTGCCTCCCAGGTCAAGTGATTCTTATGCCTCAGCCACTCGAGTAGATGGGATTACAGGTACACACCACCTTGCCCAGCTGATTTTTATATTTTTAGTAGAGACAGCATTTCACCATGTTGGCCAGACTGGTCTTAAACTCTTGACCTCAGGTGATCCGCCCACCTTGCCCTTCCAAAGTGCTGGGATTACAGGCATGAGCCACTGTGCCCAGCCAGGCCTTTGTTATTTATTTGAGGTAGGGTCCCGCTCTGTCACTAAGGCTGGAGTGTGGTGATGTGATCACAGCTTATTGCAGCTTCCACCTCCTGGAGTCCAGTGATCCTCCGACCTCAGCCTCCCAAATAGCTGGGACTACAGGTATAAACCACCACACCCAGCTAATTTTTGCATTTTTTTTGTGGAGACAAGGTTTATTTTGTTGCCCAGGCTGGTCTTGAACTCTTGGGCTCAAGCAATCTGCCCACCTTGGCCTCCCAAAGTGCTAGGATTATAGGCATGAACCACCTCGCCCACCAGGCCAAGACAAAAGGTTTTTGCAGATGTGATTAAGTTACAGATCTTTAGATGGGGAGATTATTCTGGATTATCTGGGAGGAGCCAAGGTAATCGCAAGGGTTCCTATAAGAGGGAGGCAGGAGTCAGTTAGATAGAAGGCGATGTGGTGATGGAAACCGAGGAACAGAGAGAAGGATTTCAGAGTGCTACACTGTTGGCTTTAATGGTGAAGGAATTGGGCCTTTGGAAGCTGGCAAAGGCAAGGAAAGGGGAGCCTCCCTAAGGCATTCATTTTTGCCTCTGACCTCCAGAGCTGTAAAATAGCAAATTTTTTAGCTGGTAAATTTGAGGTAATTTGTTAGAGTGGCAGCAGGAAACTAACACAGCACCTGGCCCCAGATGCTGACACTCGGGCTGTTACCTGGGGGAGAACAAAATTCTATCTCATCTAAGCCAATGTCACTTTGGCCTTTGCCTTAGAGTCAAGCCTGCCAAAGAACTTCTCTATGTCTTTTGACAAAGACACAGGGATTTTGAAGGGGGTGGCCAGTTTCTCAAGCAATTTACCTACAGGGCAGAAACTGCTAGTTGTCATCCCTCAATATCCATCCTCTTTTTCTTTTTCTTTTTTTTTTTCAGACAGAGTCATGCTGTTGCCCAGGCTGGAGTGCAGTGGCTTGATCTCAGCTCACTGCACCATCTACCTCCCAGGTTCTTGCAATTCTCCTGCCTCAGCCTCCCGAGAAGCTGGGACTACAGGTGCACACTGCCATGCCTGGCTAATTTTTTTTTGTATTTTAGTAGAGACGGGGTTTCACCATGTTATCCAGACTGGTCTCGAACTCCTGAGCTCAGGCAATCCACCCACCTCGGCCTTCCAAAGTGCTGGGATTACAGGTGTGAGCCACCATGCCTGGCCTCATCCTCCCTTTTTTTCTATATATAGTAACTGAATTTCAGCTGGGTTCATCGTCATTCAGAATAAGGACTGTATTTCCCAGCTGCTGTGGCAGCTAGGAATGGTCATGTGACTAGGCTCTGGCCAGCGAGACATCAACTGAAATGTTGCAAGGTTTGCTGTTTCTTCTTCAGTTCTTCCTTTCTCTTACTCCTTAGAGCTCAGATGATGCCATCTTGGATACAAGGTCAAGACCACAGAGCAACAAGGTAGCAGGAACCTGGGCCTCTGCACCACAGCAGCCTATTAGACAACCTTGCTAGACTTCTCCAGGAAAATAAACTTCTACCTTGTTTAAGCCGCCGTTATTCTGGGTTTTCTCCCACTTGCAGCCAAAACAAGTCCTGACAATGCAGTTATTTCTGGTACTATTTCTCAAGCTTTTGTCTCCATTCACTCAAGTTTACTTTGAAGGGGATGGTTTTATTCTCTTGGTAAGTACATCTTTGCTAGATTCAAAATTTAAAAGTATTATGATGATTTCTCTTTCTAACCATTCTACACGGTATTTAGACCACCAGAGATGACCTCACAAAGTAGCTTTACACTTCTGGGAAGTAACACCAGGCCACCAGCATGTGGGAATTCCATTTGTGGCCTGGAATGAGACACCTGGACTCATTCACTTTACTGGCTTTACTGCAAACTGAGTCAGAAATTTCCACTGAAACATTGCCCAAATAAGCCTGATTACCCTAAACTCTTGAATGAAGAGCTGATACACAGGAGCCACTTCTGCTTCTGCCAGAGTCCCCCCAGACTTGTTCCTACCTGGAGACGCCCCTGTTATTTGGTCCTCACCTAAATGCCTGCTAGAGCTGCAGAGTCTTTAATTCTTACTATCCATCCTAGGACACATTCATCACTTGAACTGGAGTTCACTTCCCCAAAACCACTGGGTTGCCTCCAAGTGGCCTTGCCTCTAAGGCTGATGTCTGTGCCCAAGTCAGCCCCTGACTTCCCCTTGTGCCCTGTGCCACCCCACACAGCCATTCCCAAGTACCTGCTGCTGGGAAAGCAGGATGTGGGCCAGGTGCTTGCCAACCTCTGCTGATCGATGGAGACACACCCCCCAGGGGTTGTCAATGACATTGGCGACACTGAGGAGTGAGGCTGGCCAGGTCAGGGCAGCCACAATGCCTGGGGAGGTGAGATAGCAGTGATGAAGGGAATGGCTCCCATCCTAGGGTCCTACTAGGGAAGCGACTTGCCAAAAGATGCTCAAATGAATGTATGCAGTCTCTAACCTGGATCCGCAAGCTTGCTGGGTATTGTCAAAATGCCAAACAGCAACCAAATCTGAAACATGAATTTCTGATAGACGGACTTAATCCCTTCTGCTCAAGCCCTTGTCATATGTGAGATCCCAAAGATGGCCCCAATTCATCTCCACACCCCGGACCCTTCTACTTTGTCTCATAACTCTGCAGTGGGGCCCCCTGCCCTGCCCATCCCCTCTAGACTCAGCCACGTGACTGTCAAAGACAGTAGTAGATGTGAGGCTTGAAATGAACTTGTGCATCAGGGCTAGCCTCTCGGGCTTCTATCACTGATGTGGGCTAGCCTGCTCATCCCAGGAGGAGGATGAGAGACAAATGGAGCAGAGCCGAGTTGCCCCAGACAAGACTGGCATTGATCAGTGGACTGACCCACAGGCCCAGATAAGATCCACCAACTCCAGCCTCCTGAGCTACTACAGTAAACATCCCATGGTGTTTTGGGGTGGCTTGTCATGCAGCAATAGCTAACTGACAGATCACGTGATTGGCTGTTTACCTGTCTTCTCTCTATAGGTATCATAAACTTCTCCCAGACAGGAATGTGGCCTTAACCTCTCTCTGTGTTCCTAGGGTCCAGCATGGTGTGTGCCCAGCGGGCATGCAAAACTATGGTGCTGCTGTGGGATGAAGGCAGTAAGGACGCTGTTGTCGGGGGGCAGAGGGGAAGCTTACCAGACAACACTGTGTATTTCAGGGCCTCCTGGGCCACCATGTTGGCGAGCCCACTGAGGATGGTCTCCAGGGCGTTGCCGAGCTCCATCAGGTACTTGGCCTCCCAGGCCAGGCAGTACTGCTCGCGGCTGTGGGCCAGTGCGGCCCACGGGGCACTGAAGGTTCCTAGGGGAGATCACAGGTAGCTGCAATCTCTCTTGTCTGTGGCAGAGGATGCCCCACCCACTACCCCAGACAAGCAGCAACAGGACCACTCATCCTTGTGCGGAAGACAAGAGGCCCACCCCCTGCCAATGAGTGGCCACTGTCAGCAGAGCTACTGGAGCTCTGTGTACCCCAGTGAGTCAGCAGGCTGGGACTCGAATCCCAGCTCCTGCATTCATTAGAAGCCGGGTGCCCTTGGGTACATCACTATCCCACCTTGAGCCTTACTTTGCTTCTATGTGAAGTGGGGAGATGATTTATTTCCCTGCATTGGGTAGGTGTAAGAATGAAGTACGTTTGCACTATGATATATGTACAGGGTTATTTTCTCTCATGCTGAAATAATTCTGGCAATTATTTCATTGTATAAGTTGCCCATGACATACAATGAGAGCACACAATGGGACAAGCAGCATGGTGCTGTGAGCCTGAGGCATCTTGATTTGACACACGTGGCCTGGGAGATGTCTAGACATTTGAGGAAGAGGTGTTTGAGCCTGGCTCTGTCCTGATCTTGCTGGTTCATCCAATTTTTCTGAGCCTTACTTTCTCAATGAGGAAATGTAAATATCAAATGATCCACAGAAGGAGGATGAGACGGCACCACTGTAGCAACTGATGCCAAGTCGGAAAGTATAACCATGACACCCGCTTCCCTCTTCCCCTCCTTCCTTGCCCACCTGGCTGCCTTCAGGATAGGAGAACAGAGAGGCCCCTAATCTGGCCCCCATGCATTTCTGCTTGTGGCCCAAGTGACTTTTCTTTTCTGCCAAGAGTTTTGCTCTTGTTTCCCAGGCTGGAGTGCAGTGGTGCAATCTCTGCTCACTGCAACCTCCGCCTCCTACGTTCAAGTGATTTTCCTGCCTCAGCCTCCTGAATAGCTGGGATTACAGGTGCCTGCCACCACACCTGGCTAATTTTTTTGTATTTTTAGTACAGACAGTGTTTCATCACGTTTGCCAGGTTGGTCTCGAACTCCGGACCTCAAGTGATCCACCCGCCTTGGCCTCCCAAACTGCTGGGATTACAGGCATGAACCACCACACCTGGCGCAAGTGACCTTTTCAAAACACAGATCTTCTCCCACTCCTGCGTAAAACCCTTCATCAGCTCCTGGACTGGACATCAGTTCCCCTAGATCACTACCACTTGTCCTTGAGATTCTAGTCCAATTGCCTCTTCTGTGGGGAAGCCTCCTGGCTCCTCTGACAAGTCAAATGTACCCTCCACTTTTCCCCATAAGTTCTTATCACAGACTGTAATTATATGCTATTTGTGCATCCTCTGATGTGTGCCTGTCCTATAGTCTGTTTTGCCAAGCACCGTATTCCCAAACCTGGGGATGTGACACACAGTGAGTGCTCATTAAACACGATGTGGGAATGGAGGGGTAGAGCCAGCTTCCTGGGGGCTGCAGGTTCCGAGCATCAACCTCAGGCCTTCACCTGCCTGCCTCAAAGCTCATCCTTAGTTGCAAGGTGCCACATCTACACAAGACAACCCTGAAGCTGTTCCCCTCCCTCTGTGGGGACCCTGTCTCAGCTCTGCAACAACTTGGGGATCAATTGCCTCTAACTGTGGATAAAGTGACAGTCAGCCCCAAGAGAGGAGACAGGCACAGAATGGGGGGAGCACGGGCTTGATATTGGCCTGGGTTCCGAACCCAGCTTGATGGCTTCTGCTGGTGTGAGTCACAGCAAGGCACAATACCCTTCTGACCCTTGGTTTCCACATTTGTAAGGATGAACTAATGCCATTTGGCTCCCGGGTGTAGCAGGGATCACATGAGATGCTGCTTAAAAGCTGTTGTATAAACTGTAAAGTGCTGTACTGCATTGTGTTGTCCCGTGGCCAAGAATATAGGCTATGGAGCCAGACAGGAGGGGGTGAATCCTGCCCCTGCCCCTGACTAGCTGGGTGACCCTGGGCACCCCTTGTGAGCCTCAGTCTCCTCATCTGGAAAATGGGAGTGGGAATGACACCCACTTCCCTGGACTGAAGTGAGGAGCTAAGTGAGCCAGTGCATACAAAGGGCTTGGTCTGTAAAAAGTGGCTGGCTACAAAGTTTTTATTTTTATTGTACATAATCATGATTAGTAAAGGGGTGGGCCAAAGAAAGTTCAATTATTCCTATCACATGGAAAAGCAACCCTGTGATGATAAGGCTTCTTTCCTGGCTCTCAAGGAGGTAGGAGTATGTGATTTTTTTTTTTTTCCTTCTGAAACTTTATCTAGCTTGGTTATATTTCTTTTACCCAGCCCTCTCCCTGGGTGCCACACCACATCGGACTGCTGGAGATCAAAGACTTTCCTCATCCCCAAATGAACTTGACCTTTAACCTGGAGCAAACTGTACATATTGGGGCAAAATGAAGAAAGGGGTTTGCTTTCCATGCTGACCAGACTTGCAAATTCCTTTACCTGGACTCTTGTTCTTGCTCCTTCCTGTAGTACAGTAAAATGCAAACAAATGAAAAGAAACCCTGGACATTGCATCAGGAGACCTGGGTTTGAATTCTGCATCTGCTGCTCCCCCGCCAGGGTTCCTCTAGGGTTCCTCTTGCGACAGATCAGGGTCAGAACAGCCCCACCTCGGAGGGTGGAAGTGCTTTTTCTAGGAGGTAGCCATACCAAGTTCCTACTGTGCTGGTAAAATGCCAGACTCAGGGTAGGCGTGAACCAGGCGCTCATTGAACATCAGTGACCTCTGTGCAAGGGTGGGGCCTGGCAGTCACACACCAATAAGACCCTGGTGCCTGGTGACACCTCTAAGTATTTCTCACTGGACTTTCTTCTGTGCAGTTTGGCACATCTGCAGCTTCTGTCCTCAGGTCAGAGACTTGGGAACCCAGGAGACTCTGGGCAGGTGTGCCTGAGTGGCCAGGTTGGGGCATTTAGGATTCCTGTGCCCACCCTGCTCTTTCTCTAAGGGATGCACTGTTTGTTGAGCCTCTTGCTGGGCACTTGCAGAGGCGAGTCAGGTACAAGTGGACCATAGTGTGAGTCCTCAATGCCACTCTGGCTAGAATCCCCAAAATATGCATGTTCAACTTAGAACAGCCAAGGGGACTAATGTTTGTGTCACAACTAGACACCACGTAATGTCCATGCATTTCCTAGCTTGATCTTTGCAGCATCCTGAAAAGGCAGCAATAATTTTGTCCACTTTACAAATGAAGTAGCTGAGATACAGAGAAGTTAAGTAACTTGCTGAGGTCACATAGCCAACACATACTGATACGACTCACATGCTTAAAGACCTTTGCTATCTTCCACTTGCTCTGAGGACAGATTCAAACTTCTCACCACAGCTCACATGCTCCTGCGTTGTCTGGCTCCACCCACACTCCTGCCTTCTGGCTGCCTGTTGCAGCCATCCTGTGTTCTCTTGGTTCTTTCAGATTGCTGGGCCTTTCCATATGCTGTCCCTTTGCTTGGAATACACTTTCTGCTCCTGCTTTATTGGGCTAACTCCCAGCCAGCCCTTAGCCTAAAAGTCACTTCCTTCAGAACCTTCCTCAGAAACACCCTGTGCTTCCCTTACTGTGCCATCCATAAAGCTCCCATTTAGTTACTCTGTCTGTCTTCTATCTCGGGTGGTATGTTCCATGGGAGTAGAGGCCATGGTTGTGCTGCTCACCACTGAATTCCTAGGGCCTGGTTCAGTGTATGACACATAGTAAGTATAGCACTCTACAAATACTGCTAGATGGACAGATAGGTGGATGGGTGGATGGGTGGATGGATGGATGGATGGATAGATGGGTAGGTAGATGGATGGATGGATGGATAGATAGTTGGATGGATAGGTGGGTGGGTAGTTGGGTAGATGGACAGGTGGGGTGGGTGGGTGGATTAGTAGGCAAGTAGAAGGGTAGATGGATGGATAGATAGAAGGGTAGAAGAATGGGTAGGTGGACGGGTGGGTGGATGGATGGACAGGTGGGCGGGTGGATGGGTAGATAGGTAGAAGGGTGTATGGATGAGTGGGTGGTGGGTACATGGATAGATAAGTAGAAGTGTGGATGGATGGATCGATGGGTTGATGGATGGTTGGACAGGTGGGTGGGCGATGGGTGGATAGGTAGAAGGGTAGATGGATGAATGAATGGGTGGGTGGGTGGATGGACAGATAGGTAGAAGGGTGGATGGATAAATGGATGGGTGGGTACATAGAAGTGTGGATGGATACATGGGTTGATGGGTGGGTAGACAGGTTGGGGGCAATAGGTGGATAGGTAGAAGAGTAGATGGATGGATTGACAGAAGGGTGAAAGGATGAGTGGGTGGATGGGTAGGTGGGGATGGGTAGATAGGTAGAAGGGTGGGTAGATAAATGGATGGGTGGGTGGATGGATACATAGGTAGAAGGGTGGAAGGACAGGTGGACAGGTGGGTGGGTGGATGGGTGAACAGGTAGAAGGGTGGATGGACAAACGGGTGGGTGGGTAGATGGACAGATAGGTAAGAGTGTAGATGAATGGATGGGTTGATGGGTGGGTGGACAGGTGGGTGGGCAGATGGTTGGATAGCTAGAAGGGTGGATAGATGAATGGACGGGTGGGTGGATGGACAGATAGGGAGGAGTGTGGATGGTGGATGGGTTGATGGGTGGGTGGACAGCTGGGTGGGCTGATGGATGGATAGGCAGAAGGGTAGATAGATGAATGGATGGGTGGGTGGATGGATAGATAGGAGTGTGGATGGTGGATGGGTTGATGGGTGGGTGGACAGGTGGGTGGGCAGATGGGTGGATAGGTAGAAGGGTGGATGGATGGATAGGTTGGTGGATGGATAGTTAGGTAGAGGTATGGATGAATGGATGGGTTGATGGGTGGGTGGACAAGTGGGTGGGTGGATGGGTGGATAGGTAGAAGGGTGGATGGATGAATGGATGGGTAGATGGATAGTTAGGTAGATGTGTGGATGAATAGTGGGTTGATGGTGGATGAATACATGGGTTGATGGTGGATGAATAGATGGGTGGACAAGTGAGTGGGCAGATGGGTTGAGAGGTAGAAGGGTGGATGGATGAATGGATGCGTAGATGGATAGTTAGGTAGATGTGTGGATGAATAGATGGGTTGATGGGTGGGTGGACAAGTGGGTGGGCAGATGGGTGGATAGGTAGAAGGGTGGATGGATGGACAGACAGGTAGGAGTGTGGATGGATGGATGGGTTGACGGGTGGGTGGACAGGTGGGTGGGCGGATGGGTAGAAAGGTAGAAGGGTGGATGGATGAATGGATGGGTGGGTAGATGGACAGATAGGTAGAAGTGTGGATGTATGAATGGATGGATGGGTTGATGAGTGAGTGGACAGGTGGGTGGGTGGATGGCTGGATAGGTAGAAGGGTGCATAGATGAATGGATGGGTGGGTATATGGATAGGTAGAAGTGTGGATGAATGGATGGGTTGATGGGTAGGTGGACAGATGGGTGGGAGGATGGGCAGATAGGTAGAGGAGTAGATGGATGGATGGATAGATAGAAGGGTGGATAAATAGGTGGCTAGATGGATGAACAGGTGGGTGGGCATATGGGTGGATAGGAAGAAGAGTGGATGGATGGGTGGGTAGATGGACAGGTGGGTGAGTGATTGGGTAGGTGGAAAGATGGATGGAGAGATGATGGGCAGGTAAATAGATGCGAGATGAAGTCGCCTCACCTCTCTGAGCCTCAGTTTCTTCCTCTTCAAAATGGGGCTCCCTATACCTGCTCACTGGAGACATGCACAGCCAAAAACTTAGCCTGGGGTCTGGCCTAGCCCACCACTGCCCACCCTCTTCCACTCTGGTCCTCCTGGTACTCACGGTATTTGCCAGATGCGAGCCACCCGGTGATGGCAATGGTGATGTGCAGCTGCCTGCCCTCTGTCAGAGGCAGGAACGTGAACTCTTCAATGGCTCCCACTCGCTTCTTCATCTTGTATCCTAAAGACCCAGATCCGAGAAAGAGAATGGAGGTGACTGGGGCCCCAGGGAACATCAGGGTGGCTGTCTGTGCTCACACACGCATACAGTAAGCGCCATCTGTGTGCCCTACCCCTGGAAAAACACATTTTGTATTTGAACTCATTAAGGTAGGTTCTGTTATTGTCCCTGATTACAGATGAAAGCAAGAAGCTGCCGAGGCTGGCCAGCCCCCAAGTGGTAGAGCTGCTTTTGACATCAGAGCCCAGGCTCTTACCCATCGCTCTATCCTGGTTCTGTTTCTTTTCTCCTGCCCACACATTGCAGGGGTAGAACATGCTCCACTTAAGAGCAAATCAAACGGACCAAGAGTAGAACACGCTCCACTTAGTAAGAGTGAATCGAATGGACCAAGAGTCTCATCAGGGAAGCAACACTTCTCTTGGGGAGTTGAACAGGAATGTCTGTGTGTGAAGGGGTGGTGGGGAGTGGGAGAGGGGCTGCTGCTAACACATATCACTTGGAAAAACTCCGACCAGGTGATGCTGGTCAGGGAAAGGTAGCCATGTTCTCTCTAAACACAAGGAAGCCCAAGCATGGATACTCCTGGATGGTGGAAGCAGGTTCAATTAGACCTTTTTTCAGGGAAGTACACATAAGGTGCATGGGGAAAAGTCCAGCTTCTCAAACTTGGCCCTTACCCTGATCCACACGAGCTCTAAGGAAGGCTGGGACCCAGAGTGAGAAAAGCCACGTCTCTGTGTCTCAGGGAGCCACTGCTGGTGAGAATCCAGGCATGTCCTTTTAGGAACTGGGCCATCCTGGCTGAAAATTCCTCTGAAGCCATCATTCCTTTTGAACCTTACCCGTCAGGCCAGCTCCAGCTGCACCGAAGAGCGAAGTCATGATGGCTATGCCAGCTGCTGAGCCCAGAGCTGCTGCCCCGGCGCTGCCAATAATCGTTGCTGCTCCAGCGGCAACAAGGGGTGCAGCTAGACCTCCGGTCACACCTGTGGGAAAAGCAGCAGTTTCAAGTGGGAGTAAAAATGTGGCTGGATGAGTTCTTACCCTTCAGCTACCAACTGCCTGGCATGGAAGCTCCTGACAGTGCGGAGGAGCACACTGACTACTCACTGGCACCCACCACATGCCAGGGGCCACCTCCCAGCTGAGCCCCTGTGCTCTCTACTCTCACCCACAGTCCGGCATCACTGCTCTGTCTGCAAAACCCAGACCCATGCCACAATCTCCACCTGGACTCACCAATCACCGTTCCGCCTCCGACAGTCGCCAGGCCTATCAGGAGATAACGCTTCCATTTCCTCCGGTTTTCTTTCTTTTTCCGGGATGCCTCGGCCATTCTGAGGGAGAAAAGGCTGGTCTTTAGGGCCAGCTGTGCCCAGGATCCCTTAAGACATCCCCACCACACCAACCCTCAAACAGAGGCCAATGCTGGGTAGGTATTCTGCCACTCAGAGTAAGGCACCAAAGTCACCCTGAGCCCACTGAAAGCCGAAAACTTTCTAAAACCCAGCTGGGGAATCTCAGTAAATGGGAGGTGCTACTTACCCAATGGATCCATCCTAACAGGGTTGCAATTTGAATAATAAAAAGACAAAAAATAATAATAGCAAGAGAAGCACAAAAAAGATCTTTAAGCAGATGGACCCAGAAGAAGCACAGAACAGAATCACGGACTCCATCACCTCCCTCCTCCCCTCCTTTCCTCCCCACCCTGCCATCTGATCCCACCTCCCTCCAGGACATTTGGAAACCAGTTTCCTTCAGAATCATCATTGTGAAGATGGGACACCTTGGCCTCGGAGCAATAGCTAGACTTATTCAGACTTGGAATTTAAATGCTAGAAAATCTAGCAAAAGGAAAACGTTTAGAGTGAACTGGGGTCAGATGAACCCTGAGAACTGCTGTTGTGAGCACTCAAGAGTCATGAAGCCCAATTTTCTTACTCGACATTCAGCCCTTGGCCCCTTTGCTGAGGGTGGGACATACAGGTTATTAAGTTGGAACTCTGAACTGAGGTTGGAGTCTGAACCACAACTCAGTGCGGAGTGATAGCAAAGCATGGTGATAATCAAAGAATAAAATCGTTAATCTTTACTGAGGGCTTCTTATATCTCAGCCACTGGGCTTTGCACTTCACAGGGTTTATCCTATCCTAAGAAGCAGTATGGTTATAGTGCCTGTATTATAGATAAATTAAGGGATAACAGTCACCACCTCCCCAGGGACTGTGGGAATCCAGTAATAGAGTATCTGTAAGCATTTAGCACAGCCATGGGTACACTGCAAGTGCTTAGTGTGACCAGGGATGATGTCACATGATACTGAACCTCCCCAAGTCTCAGTTTCCTCTTTTCTGAAAAGGCAGATACTATTTTTTACCTCATAAAGTTGTTGGTTTGTAAGGATTAAATTCATTCCTTTTCGTTCATTCAATCAATAACATTTTATTGAGAACGGATGGTGTGCTGTGCTTTTGCATCTCCGGGAGCAGAAAAATGTGTGTGCTCAACCAGTACCTGTTTCCTTCCCATCTCCCTCCTCGTGGTCCATACATTTTATCAAGAAATAGCTCCTTCTCCAGTCATCTTAAAGAAATGGGATTTGGCCAGGTACGGTGGTGGCTTGCGCCTGTAACTCAACACTTTGGGAGGCCAAGACAGGCAGATCACCTGAGGTCAGGAGTTTGAGACCAGCCTGGCCACTATGGTGAAACCCTGTCTCTACCAAAAACACAAAAATTAGGTGTGGGGTCATGCACTTGTATCCCAGCTACTCGGGAGGCTGAGGCAGGAAAATTACTTGAATCCAGGAGGCAGAGGTTACAGTGAGCTGAGATTGTGCCACTGTACTCCAGCTTGGGCAACAGAGTGAGACTGTCTCAAAAATAATGAAATAAAATAAAATTAAATTAAAAAATGAAATGGGACTTGAGCTGGGCATCTGGGGACCTACTGTGCTTTTTGGTTCCCTGACAGCTCAACTCAACAGACTTTTTTCCTAAGCATCTCCTGGGTGTAAAGCCCAGTGCTTCTCAGTCACTGCATTACACGGAAGCAGAAACCAATAGTAAAAATCTCTGTGCACATGATGGATGCTGGTTTTCCACGATTGAAATTCATGTCATCAGTGGTGCGGGATGAGGCTGAACCATGTGCATCTAGCACAGTGGGAGGCACGAGGGCCATCAAGATTGAGGATTCTCTCTCTCTCTCTCTTTTTAAGATGGAGTTTCACTCTTGTTGCCCAGGCTGGAGTGCAGTGGTGTGATCTTGGCTCACCACAACCTCTGCCTCCCAGATTCGTGATTCTCCTGCCTCAGCCTCCTGCATAGCTGGTATTACAGGCATGTGCCACTATGCCTGGCTAATTTTGTATTTTTAGTAGAGGTGGGGTTTCTCCATGTTGGTCAGGCTGGTCTCGAACTCCCGACCTCAGGTGATCAGGCCTTGGCCTCCCAAAGTGCTGGGATTACAGGTGTGAGCAATTGTGCCTGGCCAAGATTGAGGGTTCTAATGTCAGGATTCAGGCTCTGTGGATGCAGGCATGCATCCCAGCTCTGCTGTTGTGGTAGCTGTATCACCATTCACCACATATTCAGTTATCCCTTTCTACATAAAGATTATGCGTGCCTGCCCTGTCAAACTGAGTGGTCATATGACCAGCTTTAGCCAATAAAATGTAGGTGGAGGTGATATGTGTTACTTCTGGCAGAATCTTTTTTCTTTCTTTTTTTGAGACAAGGTCTGGCTCTGTCACCCAGACTTGAATACCATGGAGGGATCTTTGGTCACTGCAACCTCCACCTCTCAGGTTCAAGTGATCCTCCTGTCTCAGCCTCCCAAGTAGCTGGGACTATAGATACATGCCAACGTGCTTGGCTAATTTTTGTATTTTCTGTAGAGATGGGGTTTTGCCATGCTGCCCAGGCTGGTCTCAAACTCCTGGGCTCAAGTGATCCATCTGCCTCAGACTCCCAAAGTGCTGGGAGTACAGGTGTGAGCCGCAGTGCCTGGACAGCTGGCAGAATTTTTAAAACCAGTGCAGGAAGGTGACTCATCTTCTTTCTTTCTGCCCTGAGACCAGCAATGATCTAGATGGTGTCACTCTGTCAGCCTGGGACCCAGAACCAAGACAATGTGAATTTAAGCCACATTGATGTGAATCCAGCCACAATGTGAATTCAGCCAATCTGCAATGGACACGCAGTACGAACAAGAAATATGCCTTTAATCCTGTAAGCTGCTGAGACTTATTTGGAGGTCACTTGTTATGGCAGCAAAACCTAATCTATCCCTGCCATGGACAGAACCATTTAATAACTTTGTGACTATGCACAAATTACTTGTCATATCTGAGTTTCCTCAACCAACAAATGGGGATAACAATAGTACTGAATTGCCAGGGGTATTGTGAGGGCTAAATGGACAGAGACACTGAGACACAGTGACTAGCATCCTGTAAGTATTTAATATGTTTATTGCTATTATCACTCTTTTCATTATTATTGTAATAATTCCCTCCTAAACACAGGCTAGGGATATACTTTGACCCTTAATTGCCTTGACCCATAATTGATAACTCTTAATTCAGTTCAAAGTGGAAGGCTGGAGTTTACTGATTTTCAGCAGAGTTCAAGGCCGAAGAAAAAATTCAAGTTGCTGACGATATACGATGAGAACGTGCAACTAGGCAAGCAGCGTGGCGCTGAGTCAGCGGCATCTTGATTCGACAAACATGGCCTGGAAGTAGTCTGGACATTTGGGGAAGAGGTGTTTGAGCTCAGCTCTGCCATGAACTTGCTGGGTCATCTAATTTTTCTGAGTCTTGATTTTTCTCGCTTAGGAAACATAAATATCAAATGACCCATGCATGGATGATGGGATGGCACCACATATTAATAGAAAAATATAATCATGACTACTTGCCTTCCTCTCCTCTTACCTCCTTGCCCACCTGGCTGTCTTCAGGACACTGTCACCTCTCCCCAGTGTGACACTCACACCCTCTGTGTCCTGACCCCTGTCTCCCCGTCTAGCTTCAATTCTCATCATTCACTCACTTACGCATCACCCTTGGGAAATACTGAGCTGCCTCCAGCCACCTTCTGGCTCCTGGCCAATAAGGACCTTCCCACCTTCCTGAGACAAGTTCAACATTACTCAACCTTCAGGAGTCAGCTGAGGTGGGACACATCCTCCAGGAAGACTGTCCAAAAACCCAAGGTTGCTGAGATGCCCTGCCTCTGGGCCCCCTGAACCTCTGTGCCACATTGTCCTGGAATTCTACACCAGTGATTTTCAGAGGGTGGGCACTAGAATCACGAGAGGGTACCTGTTAAAAACACAGCAGAATCTCTGGGTATAAGGACTAAGATTCTATATTGGTAATAAGCTCCTTCTCCAGGGATTCTGCTGTAACTCAAGTTTGAAATTTGCTGAGCTAAGTTCTCAGAGCACAGACCAAGCCATTTCCAATTCCCCACCCTCAGCAGCTGGCCCTGGGCTTGGAAACTAGAGGGCACTCAGGAAATCTTTCTTGTAAAGAGCCTAATTATTCCAACAGGATTGAAGGTGACCACCTTGCTCCAGTGATATACTCCCCAACTCACTGTCTACATCTCTGAAAATCAGAGAGGTACAGAATGGACATGTTAACTAAATAAAAATACCTAGACTGGGCATGGTGGCTCATGCCTGTTATCCTAGCACTTTGGGAGGCTGAGGTGGGAGGATCCCTTGAGCCTAGGAGTTTCAGACCAGCCTGGGCAATAGGACAAAATCCTGTCCCTACAAAAATAAAAAAATTAGCTGGACATAGTGGTGCACACCTGTAGTCCACACTACTTGGAAGGCTGAAGCCCATGAGTTTGAGGCTGCAGTGAGTGTGACTGTGCCACTGCACTCCAGTCTGGGTGACAAGAGTAAGACTCTGTCTCCCCATCTCCCTCCAGAAAAGTTTATAAGCATTTGTGGATTGGAAAAGAAGATATTTTCCCTAAAGTTACTTGGCTAAGGCCCTCTCCTAATGTTCAGCTGAATGGCCAATCTATTTCCCTGATAATTTCAGTATTTGCATATTTTAAATAATTGTTTTGTACATAAAATAGCTTTCCCAGGCATCATTCAATACTGCAGCACTTCACTCTTGCAATTACTTCAATTGTCTGAATCTCAACACTGAAAGTGAAAGGGAGATGTTTGCACTGAGTCAGATTTACAATGCTTCCTTCCTTTTCCTTGGAAGTGAAAACTCAGAGAACACTAAATCTGAATGACAGCCTTGCTCTCATCACCGACTGCTCGCTGATTAGACACGATGGCACCCCACACCGTCATACAATCACGGCCATGCTGAAAAGGCAGAAGCCAACCTGAGTTGCCATTTCCATGTCCGCTGCCCAAAGACAAAGGCTGAAACCACATACAGATTTGGGCCAATCTCAGGCTGAAGCCAGAGACTTCCTGAAGAGCAAGACACCCGCAATGCCCATCAAATAGATCCACAGATCTGTCTTACTCTCTGCCATCTTATCTCCCATGAAAGGGTGTTTCCTGTCCTTATCTTTGCCATCACCTTCTGTTTTTAAATCACTTTTTCATGTTGACAGATAGAGAGAGCTTATCACTGAGAGATCTATAGACACTTTCCTAGTAAAAGCCTGGATGGCCCCATAAAATAAGTATCTTTCCTGTTTTCTTCAGAATTAAGGAGAAACTCTGCCTCTGTCAGCCAAGCCTTGAAGGACACAGTGAGGGCCATTCAGAGTGGACATGGTGGTTGAATCAGATGCTGCTGGTCAGCTGTGTGACCTTGGCTGAGTTATGCCACCTCTCTGACTTTATTTCTTAATGTGTGAAACACGTGGGGGGCTGTTATGAGGATCGAATGAGACAGCCTTTTGCGTCTGCATCTAGTAGGCATTCAAGAAAAATCTGATGCTGCCAACGTTCTTATGATATGAGTGATATCTTTTTTTATTTTTAATTTTCATTTTAATTATTTTTAGACAGAGTTTCATTCTTGTTGCCCAGGCTGGAGTGCAATGTTGTGATCTTGGCTCACTGTAACCTCTGCCTCCTGGGTTCAAGCGATTCTCCTCCCTCAGCCTCCCAAGTAGCTGGGATTATAGGCACCTGCCATCATGCCCAGCTAATTTTTGTATTTTTAGTAGAGATGGGGTTTCACCATGTTGTTCAGGCTGGTCTGGAATTCCTGACCTCAGGTGATCCATCTGCCTCGGCCTCCCAAAGTGCTGGGATTACAGGTGTGAGCCACCATGCTGGGCCTATGTGAGCAGTATCAACTCCAGCAGCTCATTTGCTCATAACTGCTGAGAATCTATTATGTGCCAAGCACGGGTCCCAGGTTTGATATGTGTTCAGTAATTTAATCCTCTCAACAACTCTATGATGGTGATACCACCATTATCCTCATGTGAGACATAAATAAGGGACAGAGAGGAGAAGTGAAGTCTCTAAACAAGTGAGAGAAGCCGGGTGGCCTTAGGGCTCAGACGGAGAGCCAGGAGCAGAGGGGAGGTACGTCATACTCTAGACCCGAGCTGCAAACCGTCGCCTTGGTGTGCCCAGTGATAAGCTCACCTCCCAGAGACACAAAACCTTACAGTTAAAAGAAATCTACATAGCATTCAATCCCCTAATTGTTTATGTAAAAAAAAAGTAAATGGGTGCTGGTGTCCAGGGAGGGAAAGCCATGTGCCCAAGGCCATACAGAAAGCAGAATCAAACAGAGCCAGGTCTCCTGGCTGAACAGTTGCTATGCCTTCCCTGGGTCTCAGATCTTTCCAGAGACCACAGAATCCAAGAGGTCTCCAAAAACAATTAACAATAATGTGTTAATTAACATAAAAAATTATATCTGTGAAACCTTTTTCTGGGGAAAGGATCTATACATGGACTATAATAGGGCCTATAATCATCTATAAAAGGGTCTATAATGACACAATTAGAACAGTATTGTTAACAACAGCAAATAATGTTTATGGACTAGTTATTCTGTCCCAGGAAACACTTTACATATATATGAAATCATTTGGGCCCCTCAAGAACCCTGTGAGGAGGGTGCTACTCTTATCCCCACTTTGCAGGTGAGGAAGTTGAAGCTCAGAGAAGTTAAATGGCCAAGCTCGTGCGGCTGCTGAGTGGCAGAACTGGCCTGTGTTAAACCTTCTTGTTTATATCTTCCCCGACCTGGCATGACTGGTATTATCAGAACAAATTGCTCTGGGTAATATGTTTCTCTCTGATAATAAGATTTCCAAATAATAACTGAGAGGTGTCTAAATTTCAAGGCATATAAGAGCCTGTACATTTCTGACATATCCAAAGAACCTAAGAAGCCCTCGTGATTATGGTAATTGGCATGGATCCAGGTATTTCTATACTGACACAACTCTGGGAGTCAAGGCCAGTACATTAACAGGTTATTTCAACAAACCAAGTTTCCTCCTTTCTCAAAGAAATAACCCTTTCCTTTGCTTCACAAACTCTAGCATAAGGGTAACTCTGGGTCTCAATTTGCTTTAGGATTAAGTTCCCAGGTGAGCTGAACTGGTGTAACCTGGCTGGTCAAAGTACACCACAGCAGCTGAAAACAAAACCCAGAGCTGGGAGACGTGCCTGCTACCAGGAATTTATGATTAGGCTGTGACTGAAATTGATTTATTGCTCTGGGATTAGATCCTGTGTGAGGTGTTCTGCAAAGAGCTGAGCTCTGGCCAAATTACCAGGATTATTTCCTTCTACACACTCTTGACCATATAGAGACAGCAAAGCAACTCTACAACTGATGGCTCTGGGACATGCCGGGGAAGGAGAGGACTCATGTTTACCGAGCACTTGCTGTGTGTCAGCCCTGGGCTATGCATTTTACAATGTGCAGACATTCATTCTCCCCATGACCCTGGGAGGGCACTACCCTTATTTCTGTTTCACAGATAAGAATGTTGTAGCTTGGAAAAGCAAGGCCACCCACCCAATGTCAAACAGTGGACGGGCATCAGAGACAGGAATTGAATCCAGGTCAATTGTGCCCATGGACCAGGTGTTACAAGAGCCTAAGGTGGAACAGGGTGTCAGGGCCCCAGGATGTTAAAGTCACAGATTCAAGGCCCTTAGCAATCATTCATTTCCTTCTTTTTTTTTTGAGATGGAGTTTCACTCTTGTTACCCAGGCTGGAGTGCAATGGCGCGATCTCGGCTCACCGCAACCTCCGTCTCCTGGGTTCAGGCAATTCTCTTGCCTCAGCCTCCTGAGTAGCTGGGATTACAGGCACGTGCCACCGTGCCCAGCTAATTTTTTGTATTTTTAGTAGAGACGGGGTTTCACCATGTTGACCAGGATGGTCTCGATCTCTTGACCTTGTGATCCACCTGCCTCGGCCTCCCAAAGTGCTGGGATTACAGGCTTGAGCCACCGGCGCCTGGCCCTTTTTCTTTTTAGATAGAGTCTCGCTCAGTTGCCCAAGCTGGAGTGCAGTGGTAGGATCTCAGCTCACTGCAACCACGGTCTCTCAGGTTCGAGTGATTCTCCCAAGTAGCTGTGATTACAGGCACCCGCCATCATGCCCAGCTAATTTTTGTATTTTAGTAGAGACGGGGTTTCACCACGTCGGCCAGGCTGGTCTTGAACTCCTGACCTCAGGTGATCTGCCTGCCTTGGTCTCCCAAAGTGCTAGGATTACAGGCATGGACCACCCCACCTGGCCATCTTTCCTTTTTTTTTTTTTTTCTGAGATGGAGTCTCACTCTGTCACCCATACCATTTTGCAGTGGCACAATCTTGGTTCACTGCAACATCCGCCTCCCAGGTTCAAGCAATTCTCCTGCCTCAGCCTCCCAAGTAGCTGGGACTACAGGTGCACACCACCATGCTTCGCTAATTTCTGTATTTTTAGTATTTTGTATTTTGTATTTTTTGTATTTTAGCTGGGGTTTCATCATGTTGGCCAGGCTGGTCTCGAATTCCTGACCTCAAGTGATCCACCCACCTTGGCCTCCCAAAGTGCTGGGGTTACAGGCGTAAGCCACCGTGGCCGGCCCATTTCATCTTTTCTTCTTGCAAATGAGGTCAGAGGCCCAGAGAGGGCAAGTGGCTGGCTAAGGCCACATAGTGAGTCAGGGCTACAGCTGTGACTCTGTCCACGGTTCCTCCCACCTCACTGCACCATCTCTTAAAAGGAGAAGAGGACTCTGTTATCTGCAAAGTGTACTTAAGTGGAAATCCTTGGATACTGATGGGTGTCTCGGGACTTTCTTACTCAGATTCCTCCTCTTTGATTTCCTTCAGGCTCTCCAGGAATGTCTCTTCTAGGACATCCAGCTCCTCCAAAGGCGCCTGGAGCAGGGAGGTCATGTGGCAAACGAGGACTCGGGCCCGGGCATCATAGTGCCCTCGAAAGACAGAAAACACCAGGAAAGAATCAGTATAGGTTTCTTTTTTTTTTTGAGATGGAGTTTCGCTCTTGTTGCCCAGGCTGGAGTGCAATGGCGCAATCTCGGCTCACTGCAACCTCCGCCTCCTGGGTTCAAGTGATTCTCCTGCCTCAGTCTCCCATGTAGCTGGGATTACAGGCATGTGCTACCACACCTGGCTAATTTTGTATTTTTTAGTAGAGATCGGGTTTCACCATGTTGGTTAGGCTGGTCTCAAACTCCTGACCTCAGTTGATCCACCTGCCTCAGCCTCCCAAAGTGTTGGGATTACAGGCGTGAGCCACCATGCTCAGCCCAGTTCAGGTTTTAAGCATAGTGATGTCAGCAGTGTAACTGATAAAACCCCAACACTGGAAACATCCTAAATGCACAAACCCATTGGAGCCAGTCAATGAAAAAAATGACACAGCTGCCTAGACAAAATATTACACAACTATCAAAATAACAGCAAAAGCAAGGTGGGGTTGGGTGTGGTGGTTCACACCTGTAATCCCAGCACTGTGGGGGGCTGAGGCAGGCAGATCATAAGGTCAAGAGATCGAGACCATCCTGGCTAACATGGTGAAACCCCATCTCTACTAAAAAAACACAAAATTAGCTGGGCGTGGTGGCGCGCACCTGCAGTCCCAGCTACTCAGGAGGCTGAAGCAGGAGAATTGCTTGAACCTGGGAGGCAGAGTTTGCAGTGAGCCAGGATCGTGCCACTGCACACCAGCCTGGCGCCTGGTGACAGAGCAAGACTCTGTCTCCAAAAAAAAAAAAAAAAAAAAAAGGAAGGTGGTATGTCTCATCAGTCAAATGAGCAAAGATTAGTTTTTAAAATTTCAGAGCTGTGAAGGAGACAATAAAAATGGGTGCTTAAAGACACTGCTGGTGGAAGTGTGCATTGGTGTAAACTTTCTAGAGGGCAACTGGATAATATGTATCAAAAACTTTAAAAAAAAATACATTCCCTTTGCCCCAGGAATTCCATTTCTGGAATTCTAATCCTAAAAAAAAACCATAAATGTAGATGATATTAAGTAAATAAAGGCACTACTGCTGTATTTATAACATGAACCTGGAAACAACGTGGAGATTTCCAACATCAGGAAATTAGTTACAGAAACTAACCACACCCATCCAGCTGAAAATCATGGGCCATAAAAAATGATTCCCAAGGAAAGTATGTAACAACTTTCAAAGATAAATTCTTAGCCGGAAGACTTTATGGCTAAGTGCTGGTGTGTGCCTATAATCCCAGCTACTTGGGAAGCTGAGGCGGGAGGATCGCTTGAGCCCAGGAGCTCGAGACTAGCCTGGGCAACATAGCAAGACCCCATCTCAATAATAATAAGAAGAAAAAAAGAGACCGTTCTGTTTGGATATTACACATAAAGAAAAAAGGGAAAATAAATACTTATACGGTGAAACAAATTTTTTAATGGATAGAAGATTGACTTGATAATATGTCACAGGGTCCCAACTAAGAAACAAAACGAAAAACAAACACTACACCGGAAAAAAAAGTGAGGGGAGGCCAGGCACGGTGGCTCACACCTGTAATCCCAGCACTCTGGGATGCTGAGGTGGGTGGATCCCTTGAAGCCAGGAGATCCAGACCAGCCTGGCCAACATGGTGAAACTCCATCTCTACTAAAAATACAAAAATTAGCTGGGCATGGTGGTGGGTGCCTGTAATTACAGCAATTTGGGAGGCTGAGGCAGGAGTCACCACACCCGGCTGGCAATTCAAATGTAGTATCTTACAGCTCTGAAGGCCAGATATTCTAAAATCACAGTGTTAGCAAGGAGGGAATCTGTTTTCTTGCTTTTCCCAGCCTGCTTTCCTTGGCTTGTGGCCCCTCCCTCCAATCACTCCAACCTCTGCTCCCATGGTCACATCTCCTGCTCTGACTTAGATCCTCCTGTCTCCCTCTTATAAAGACTCTGTGACTGCATTGGGACTATCTGGAAAGTCCAAGATAGTCTCCCCATCCCAAGACACTTAAAGTAATCACACCTGCAAAGTCTCTTTTTCCATGTAGGGTAACATATGCATAGGTGCCAGGGATTAGGGTGTGAACATCTTTGGGGGCCATTATTCTATCACTTAACCCTTGACCTGGCTCAACCATCACCTCCTCTCCGAACCCTTTCTGCATCGCTCCTGCCTTTGGGGGGGTCTGTGGTCATGTACACAGGCCTCTCTCAGTATCTTCCCCAGTTGACTGTATTCATCATATCTTAGTCGACTGTGAGCTTAGTCATCTGTTTTTCCAACCCCTGTACCTCCCTGGGACGTGGCACTTAGTAAGAACTCAAAAAATGTTTACACAATGAATGAACCAATGAATAAACTCTTCTGATTTTTAGGTCAAATTCTTTGTGACTCAAGTACTATGATGGGCTTCCCAATTGAATCTTTTTGACAGAGAAAGTCGAAAGAACCTGACATTCAGCTACTCTGTACCCACCTGCCCTGTGTGCCCTGGCCCTGTGAAGACATGAGTTATCTAAAACTCAAATTCCCCAGTCTAGCTGCCTATCAGCATGATCTGAGAAGCTTGCCAAAAATAGGGTTTCCTGAGTTCTGGTAGAGGGGACCCTCCTTTCCCTGGCCTCATGTTTCCACATGAGAAGCTATTCAACATGATGCAGCCCTTGAAGTCTTGAAGTTTGAGGTTTCAGCTTCTGCAAAAGAAATCAGTTCCTACCCTGACCCAGGGTAGGGTGAAACATGGTCTCCCGGGATGAGGAGCTGTCTATGTGCTAGAGACAGATACCACATGCTGTGTCTTGGGGTTATTACGTTCAGTAAACTTCCATGGAAAAAAAGGAGCTCCTTGCTTCCCCATAGGAGCAAAGACTATTTCGCCCAGGTGATAATAGTGTTGTAGAAACGAAGCTTTGGCTGCAGTGATTAAATGTGGCAATTAAAATTAATTGCTAATACATACTCCATTGGTCAAGGCTGCAGTGATTCATCTCCTAGCATGCCGGCTGCTGGGTGTATGTGTGATTAGCATTCCTGCAGCAATCTCAGGCACGGGTCTTCGTATCTCAGCCTCGTGTAAAGGTCATTTCAAAGACTTAGTGACTGGGATGCTGGTCTTGGAGCCAGGGTTTGTATTTTAAGGCATCTTCCTTCTGGAGGCTCTAGAAACAAATCTCCTCTTTTAGAAGGCAGTAGAGAGGGGGCACAAGTCCTGGGCTACCCAGGATATTGGCATTCTCTGGCCTAGGCTCTACTGCCAACTTGCCAGGGGGCCAACTTGCTCCTTCAGATCCTGTCCCAATAAAAGGTGCCCCATAGGCCAGACGTAGTGGCTCACGCCTGTAATTCCAGCACTTTGGGAGGCCGAGGTGGGTGGATCACTTGAGGTCAGGAGTTCAAGACCAGCATGGCCAGCATGCTGTACCCTTTGTAGTACCCTTTCTGTACTACAAAATACAAAAATCAGCCAGGTGTGGTGGCGCGCATTTGTATTCCCAGTGACTTGGAAGGCTGAGGCAGAAGAATTGCTTGAACCTGGGAGGCAGATGTTGCAGTGAGCCAAGATCACGCCACTGCACTCCAGCCTGGGCAAGAGAGGGAGACTTCATTGCAAAAAAAAAAAAAGTGCCCATCCACCCTGGGGCTCAGACCATAAGGCTGAGCAGTGTTCTTAGTTCTTGTTTCCCTGTCCCAATATCCAACCCACCAGCTGATGCTGACAGCTGCATTTCCAAGACATTTCCTGGGTCTGACCACTTCACTCTATCTCCACTGCCACTGCCACAGCCATCGCTCTCCAGCCACAGCTGCCTCACCGCTCTCATTTTTCACTCTTGCCTCCACACTCCATTTGCCAAACAGCAGCCATTGAGCTACTTTAAAGTCACCAATCCGATCGTCCTCTCCCTGGCTTAGAGCTCGCTGACACCTCCCCAGTGCACTCAGAATAAAGTCCACATTTCTTTCCATAGTCTGTAAGACTGCACATTGTCTAGCCCCTTCCTGCCACTGTCCTCTTTTTTTATGAGTTATTTCTTCTTATCTTTTTTTTTTTTTTTTTGAGACAGAGTCTCACTGTCACCCAGGCTGGAGCACAGTGGCACGATCTTGGCTCACTCACTGCAGCTTCAACCTCCCGAGCTCAAGTGATCCTCTGCCTCAGCCTCCTGAGTAACTGGGACTACAGGCATGTGCTTCCATGCTCAGATAATTTATATATATATATCCAGCGATCCACCCACCTTTGCCTACCAAAGTGCATGGTGGGATTACAGGCATGAGCCACCCAGCCACTTCTTCTTATCACTATTTAAAACAACTATATATATTTTGTATTTGCCTACTTGTTTGTCTCTTCTTCCTCTAGAATAAAAAATATAAGCTCCAAATCCACTGTGCATCCCTAGCTCCTCAGCCCATGCCAAAAACAAAGCAGAGCTTCAATCATCTTTGTATGCAAGAAGAATGGAGTATTTGTAGAAATGAATGAATGACTCAGCAGGTGGACCTCCACTGGGGGAGATTCAAATGGCGGGACAGTTCTGCTGGATGAAATGTGTATCTCCTTTTGGAAGAAACATCCTGTGATCAATAATCCTATTAATCTGGAAGCGTCATTTACCAACTACTCCTCTGGATCAGATTCTGCACTACACTCTCTGCACGTATTGGCTTATTGAATCCTTATGACCCTCTGAAGTGGCAGGTACTTTAGAAACTCCATCTTCTCAAAGAGGAAAGTGAGGTGCAGAGCACTTAGGCCCGCTGCCCCAGGTTCACCCAGCCAGTGAGTAGTAAAGTGGCAGCCTGGCTGCAGAGGCTGAACACCTGACTGCCTCCCCTTTCCCACACCATGATGTGGGAAGCAGGGGCATGAGCTAACAGAACACTGTCTTCCAGCCACACACCTCTCTCCCAAGCCCACCCATGCTTCCAGCCTGTGCTCTTTCCTTCTGGCCTCCTTCTAAGTTTGGGTCAGGCT